ATATGGGTCTTTTGAGTTCCTTGTTATGCCATTTGGGCTAACCAATGCACCCGCAATATTCATGGATTTGATGAACCGGGTTTTTGTCCATACTTGGACTAGTTCGTGATTGTTTTCATCGATGACATCCTCATTCATTCGAGATCAGAGGCCGAGTACGAGCAGCATTGTTGATTGGTATTGTAGACTTTGCGGGAGCACCAGTTGTACGCTAAGTTTAGCAAGTGTGAATTTTGGCTTTCAGAAGTCAAATTTTTAGGTAATGTCAATAGCAAGGAGGGCATTGCAGTTGATCCAGCCAAAGTGGAAGCAGTTCTGAATTGGGAGCCGTCGAAGACTGTGACAGAAATTCATAGTTTCTTAGGTCTTGCCGACTATTACAGGAAGTTTATCAAGGTCTTTTTGAAGATTGCTACCCCATTGGCACACCTTACGAAGAAGGGTGTATAGTTTGTTTGGTGACCGGAGTGCTAGAAGGCCTTTGAGACTTTAAAGACCAAGTTGACTACGACATCGGTTTTGATCATCCCGAGCAGTGATAAGACTTTTGTTGTCTACATGGATGTATCTTTGTTGGGATTAGGAGGTGTTTTGATACAGACCTAGAGAGTAGTAGCTTACATTTCGTGACAGTTGAGGACTCATGAGCAAAATTATCTCACCCATAACTTAGAGTTGGCAGCAGTAGTCTTCGTACTGAAGATATGGAGATATTATGTTTATGGAGTTCAAATTGAACTGTTTACAGGCAATCAAAGTCTGAAGTACCTCTTCTCTCAGAAGGAACTCAACCAGAGACAGCGGCGATGGATCAAGTTCATCAAGGATTACGAGTTTGCACAGCAGTATCATCCGGAGAAGGCAAACGTTGTAGCAGACATGTTGAGTAGGAAGCGTTGTCACGGGATTGTAGCTTTGAGGTGCTCGTTGTATCGAGATCTTCTCACTCTTAGTCAATTTGACTTTAGGCCAGAGATTGGCGAGAGCAATGCATTTTTGGGAGCTTTAGACGTACAGTCGTCGTGGACTGATAGAGTGATCAGTGCTCAGGTGGAGGACTCTTGGATTCAAACCCGAAAGGGGGAGATTTCCTAAGAGCCCAAGGCTGATTGGACCATCGGATTAGATGGGGGCGTTCGAATGAAAGGCGGACTAGTGGTGTTGGATATTCCGCAGTTAAGGAAGGAATTATTTGATAAGGCACATCGCACTAGGTACACAATGCATCCAGGCATAACCAAAATGTACAAGGACCTGAAGAGACATTTTTAGTGGAATGGCATGCGTAGGAATATTACGGAGTATGTAGCGAAATGCTCTACCTGTCAGCAAGTGAAGACAGAACATCACAGACCCACGAGTACCCTACAGTCTGTACCCATTTTTAAGTGGAAGTGTGTAAATATCTCGATGGACTTTGTTGTAGGCTTGCCGAGGTCTAGCAAAGGGAATGATTTGATTTGGGTGATTGTTGATCGATTAACGAAGTCAGTACACTTCCTACCCATCAAGACTACTTATACAACGGAGACTTATGCGAGGATTATCATCCGAGAGATTGTTCGATTGCATAGAGTTCTGGAAGAGCTTCTAGAATTCTTTTGACAGCCAACTATCATATAGTAGTGTTTTCCACCCACAAATAGATGACCAAACAGAGAGGGTCGACCAAGTTTTGGAGGACATGTTGCGAGCTTGTGTTATCAATTTTTAGGGCAGCTGGGAAGATCATACTCCATTGATTGCGTTTGCCTATAACAACAATTATCAAGCAACTATAGGTATGGCTCCTTATGAGGCGTTGTACCGGAGGCCTTGTAGATCCCCGATTGTTGGGCAAAACTGGAGGACAGTTTATTACTTGGACTAGATTTGGTTAGGCAGACTTCAGAGAAGATATCATTGATTCGAGAGCGTATTCTTGCGGCACAGAGACGAAAAAAGTGTTACACAGATTAGAGGCGACAACTTTTAGAGTTCTAGGTTGGAGATTATGTGCTATTGAAGGTGTCACAAATGAAGGGTGTCCAGCGATTTGGCAGATGGAGAAAACTTGCCCCTAGATATATTAGACCATTTAAGATTGTTGATCGTGTTGGAGTCGTCTCGTATCGGCTAGATCTTCGAGCATCGATATCGGGTATACACGACGTTTTTCATGTTTCGGTGCTCAAGAAGCATTTACGTGACGAGGGGTAGCAGAGAGTGTTAGATGCACCAGCAATTGAGCTTCAGGTAGATTTGACCATCATTGAGATCCCAGTTCGTATTCTTGCTAAGGAGGACAAGAGGCTTAGAAATAAAGTGATTCCATTAGTCAAAGTTTAGTGGAACTAGAAAGGAGCTGAGGAGGCTTCTTGGGAGCGTGAGGAGGATATGTGTTTTATTTGAATAATATCAATGTTCAAGAGATAGAAACAAAATCCACGTGTCACCCGAAATAATTTATAGGAATCTGAAAGCTAACCCAAAATAATTTGAAGCACAAGTATCAGTCAACCGATCAAGGCTGTGTGGCTTTGTACATGTTTTGTGTATACCGTCAGTCGACCGATGAAGATACATCAGTCGACTGGTCTATGTTAGCTTGCGAATTGTGAACTTGATGTTTGTATCATGTGAGATGATTGTGAACATGAGGTTCGTGTCCGCACATCAAAACACGTGCTTGACCACTGGAGCACATGTATATGGAATTTGAGCACACACGCGCATTTGGAGGTATTTAATTCTATATTTTGATTTGTCATGTTAGAGAATGATGCATTTTGTATTTCATCATATTGTGGATGCTTGAGTGGGTTAGTTGGTATCCTGTAATGAGACCATGGGAGACTACACTCAGAGTGGGTTAGTTGGTATGCTACAATGAGACCGTGACATACTACACTCTATGATGCATCATTCCAGATTGGGCTGATATGCCTACATTCTGCAAGGCGATTGAGTAAGATGGTGACGTCACAGGATATTGTGAGCGCCTTACAAAAGCATGATTGTTTCTGATAGATTATTTCACGGATTGCATGTATGCTCCCATGTTAGTTACTCGAGAGTAGATGGTAATAAGCTGAGTTTCCTACACCATATTTTATGTGAGCTTCATTTTACCGGATTGTTATATTAGTGACTACATCACCTACCCAAGGGTAGTGTGAGATGTGTTACATGTTTGGCATTGGATGAGGTTTGGTATTGTTCTGTCTTTCATTTATTGTTTATTTCATAGGGTTTGGAGTTGGTATTAGCGATTCACAATTTGAGCTACGAGGTATATACATGAGGGTTTCCTTGTTTGGATTATTTCGCTCGATGTACCCATCTCGTGTTGTGGATTTCTAAATATCAAATTCCTCTTAGTTCAGGATAGATGATTTTATATCTATATGTACTAACTTGTATTTTCATATATATTCCTAACCCCCTCCCCCTGGGGCGGTGGAGATGTTCTCGCTGGCGCTTTGACGCTTGTTATTTTCCCTCTTTTCAGGCAGCGAGTCAGGCGCACGGAGAGTCACAAGTTGATGGAGTTTTAGATTAGCTCCCATCATTATTTATTTTTTGTAATTATTTAGATCTCCACAGTTGTTATGATTTACTTTCGGACATTTAAAGTTGTATTTTATTTTGTAAAGGACGAGTGCCTTTGTACTATTTTATTTGACTCTATGTATTGAGACACTTCACATTGGTTCCAGTTTAACGGTTGTACTTCATTATATTTAGTTGGAACATGATTCTCTCATTTCCTTATTAATTTTCATTACAGTATTACTTTGTTCTATCTGCTTTGTACCTACACGTATTTATTGTTGTTTCTACTAGAGAGATATTACTGTAATGGTGAAACGTGTTGATGCACTATGTGGGTGCATGGCAGGTTTTACATCCTTGTGTTCACCTTGGACTGTAGCATTGTGTGAAACCAGAGGCGTCACATATATAAAGTTGGATGTATGCACTATTATATTCCTAACCCGTCCAAGAAGGACAGGTCCAATAATTATGAATTTCTATCCTGATTCTTTCTTATTATAACATAAAGTAAACAATCATTTTTCGGATAGAAAACTTTATCTCCTACCCAAATTTGACTCGTCTATCTTATATTATAAGTCCAAAGAGTTGGATGTAATTATTGGACGGGAGTCTAGTGATAATGTTATCTTTTCATTCACCTAAATTGGATATAAAACACATTATTAAAAATTATAATGTGTTATATATCGCTCTATTTAAAAAAAAAAATTATTGCACACATTTTCACATCACAAGCTTATATAATCACACTTATTTATAGTATGCATGAAACATAATGTAAATCAACTTTCATTATTCGGTATTCAATTAGAGTTAATAGTTAACAAGTGCTCGATTAAATTTACGATTATAAGGGTTGTTCAAATAGGGCAAAATGTAACGGAGTTACGGTTAATAACTGAAATTCTTTCAATTAGAGTTACAAGATTCAAACTTGTTCATTTTGGGTCATAATTTAGGATATTTAAACTAAATTAAGTAATAAACAATATAAATTTTGAAAATTTGAAATTTTCCATAAAACATAATGCAAACTTGTTTCCCCTCGTCGGCAACGCTGTACTCCTGCCAGTACTCCGGAACTGCCACCTGAAATTGATATAAGAGTTCAAATTGTGATACACCAAATAAAACAAAATTAAATACGTAAGACATGGAGTCAGTTTATGATGGATTAGTTTCTATTGCATTTGGTAGGACCTGAAATGATTACCTCCTAATACAATCCTAAAAAAACAAAACAAAAAATCAAAAAAAAATTATACTACCTCATATCAAACAACTACACCAACTCACTCTAAAACTCCATCCTTTAAAAACTCGGGTACCCTTTCCTCTACTATTCATTCTAACATAATGGCCTTCTTCCTCCTCCTATGCATCTCATCCCTCCTCTTTTCCTCCCCTTCCGCATTTCCAGGCATGATGCCTGCTAATCCTTTCCTGCCCCCCCGCCGCCGATGCTGCCAGAACAGGATCCCGGTCTTTCCGGATTGCCTGTCGCTGCACCGGTTGTTCGCGCAAATCAGCCAACAGGACGGCAGCAGAAACCAAGTGCAGGAGTTCAGCCTGGTGAAGGGGATCAAGGACAAGAGCAGGAGGAGCCTCCTCCAGTGTCGCCCGTCAATGCGCCAGATGTCAATGTGAATCAGCCAATTGGACAGCAGCAGCAACCAAGTGCAGGAGCGCAGCCTGTTGGAGTGGATGAAGAAGAAGAACAGGGGAAGGCTCCCGCAGCGTCGCCCGTCACTGCGCCAGCTGTCGGCGCTAATCGCCAAATTGGGCAGCAGCAAGAGCAGGCTAGTGGTGGAGGGGTGCAGCCTGGTGCTGGAGTGCAAGGGCAGCAGTCACTGGGATTTGGTGCACAGCCATTAGTGGACAATACTCCTTTTGATAGTGGGAGTTCAAGAGTTTTCTTTGGGTTTGGCTATGTATATGCTCTTGCTTCGTTTTGGTTTAATTTGGTCTGAACAAGACTAGTGTATTGCGGTGAGCGTGCCAATGTTGTGAGAGAGTGGCCTGTACAAGTTTAATTTGCTTCAGTATGACAAAATTTAGTGTTATCATGTTCTTAACTTGTATGATTCATTTTGTTCAATCCTTCAAGAGAAATAGCCATCAGTCATGACTCATGAGCAAAAATAAATAAATAAATAAAGGTAAATCTAACCAAATTACCCTGGATTATTAGGGGTTTTGCACAAAAAACTTCATAACCTTTTTATCTATTAGAGAAAAACATTGCAAGGTTCCAAATTAGCAGAAGAATATCACATACAATCAGAACATACTCAATAGTCACCTGAAAATCATTGATAGAACATATATCCATCAAAAGATGCGCTCAACTGGCTGAAAGTACAAAAGACGCATATTTACAAGCCCTCGAGGAGAATATTGTGTTCTTTTCATTTCAAGCACTTCTTTCGGTTTTACATGGCACTTCACCTGGAAGTAGTAGACAGTGGTCCTGCATATTCAGAATGTTTCAGTGTGTGAATGTATCCAATTCATTTTTGAATACAATCTCAAGAAAATTTTCACTTGAAACTTCACCGCTGTTTATCCAATTTTCCAAATAATAAGCTTTAAAATTGCGCCAACACAAAATTGCGATCATGGAAACCATGCATATCCATAATTGAGCTCTTTTGAACACGCTGCTCACCAGGCCCGGTTCTGAAGCTGTGCGGGCTGATCCACCGCACAGGGCCCCCTAAACTTTGGGGCCCCAAAAAATAAATCATGCAAGTATATTTGTCCTAGCAGTAGCAGGCTAGCACATCTCTTTTCGCAAGACTTCACTATAGCAGTGACATGTTACAGTGAAGGTCAGCACAGATACAAAAGAGATCCCATTTCTTATTAGATCGGTCAAGTCCTAGCCCATCTCTTTTCCCAAGGCTAGCAGTCTAGCACATCATCCCAAGTCCTATTCCATCTCTTTTCCCATTGGCCATCACATCCCAAAAAACAAAATATGCAAGTACTATTTTCTTATTAGATCTCAAGAACAAAATTCTCTCTCATTAAGAAAAAAAGAAAATCCAAGAATCGCAGCTCAAACGAATCGAGGGGAAGGAGAAAGAGAGATCCCAGCTCAGTTGCAAGTATTTACATCCATTTACTCTCTGGATCTCTAAAGAGAATCGATTCATTTGATTATCTGATCACGTTTCTCCTCCCATCATTAGGGTTTTGATTTAATGGATCCAAGAAATTATATTTGTTTCGTTGTTTTTTCCTGATTGTGATTGTTGACTATAGAGAGATATTGTTGGGTTGCTCATGGAATCACATTTTGTCTGCAAAATTTTCCAGTTTTGCTTTGAAAATTAAAATCTTTTTAATTAACTGTCATCACCAAATATACTGATTAAAAATGTTGAATCTACGAGGATATACCTATGACTGTGATTTCATGAGATTCCATACACATTTTTTTTGCATAAAAAATATTGTTTTTAATTCAAAATCAAAGCTTCATATCAAAACATTCTTTTTAGGTTCGTTTTTTTGGATCGACTCGAGGGACTGTTCAAAATGAAAATTCGTTGACCTTTTCTTCGAAAGGGGAAAAAAGCAATTTTCATGACTCGGAAGGGTTTCTTTGTTTCAGGCGTAGCCATTTGCAACGACTTTATATAACAACTAAAAGAAAATTTTCATTATGAGAAATCGCTATGTATTTTCGCTGTGGTATTTAGGTTGTTAATATAGTATATATATACCTCTATTTGAACTATTTTCTTTCTTTTCTTATGAATTCTTTCTTTCATATTACAGGTGGGACCTTGGGAAGAGGAAAGTCAACTATCTTTTGCAAACTACTCGAGTACCTCTTCCACTTGATTTAAGGCTTCAAATTAGGTTGTATTGTTCCGAATCCTGACTTCTTTCAATTTGATTGTAATATTTTTTATTTTATTATAGAAATGCCTCCAAGAAAGTATCCTTCTGGATATGATAAACGTAAGAAAAAAGAAAAATTGAACGATTTGTCCAAACTCAAAGTGGAGCGCTTGATAAATTCATTGTTAGAGAAATACAATATTTAGTTGAAAATTTAATTGAAAATGATAACATCAATGATTTGGGCCTAAATGAGTATGAGAATAAAAATGTTGATGATCAAAGTAAAAATGAAAATGATAATGAAAATGAGAATCAGAATCAGAATGAAATTGATATAGACAATGAAAATGAAAATGAGAATAAAAATATTTTAGGAAATGAACACCTAATCAGTCCATGCTCATGAATTTGAATATTTATGATCCAAGAACTTGGGATAATTTGGACACAAAATCTGGAGATATATTAGTGGAAAATGGCCCTATAAGAGATCTATTGGTCGAAAAAGGTCCTAAAGATAAATTAGGAAGATGTTTTTCTTCGGCATTTTACACTAGGCATTTATCAAATAGAGAGAAATGCGATAGGGAATGATTAGTTTATTTAAAGGATATCGATAAAGTAATCTATTTTTGTTGTAAATTGTTTTAAAATGATTTTAAGAAAAGTTTTTTTAATAAATGAAGGATTTAATGATTGAATACATCTTAATGCTAGGCTTAAAGAACATAAAACAACTAATGAGAACATTATTAACATGAGTACTTGGCTTGATTTACACATAAGATTAAAGAAAAATAAAACAATCGATAAAAATATACAAGAGCAAATTAATAAAGAGAAGGAACATTGGAAGAAAGTATTACAAAGAATAATTTCTATTGTTACATATCTGGCTAAACATAACTTAGCATTTTGAGGAACAAATGAGAGAATTTATCAAAATAATAATGGAATTTTTTTTAGGCCTAACTAAAATGATTGCAGAATAGGATCCGGTAATGTAAGAACATGTTCGACGTATTGACCATGGTGAAATTCATTATCATTATCTTGCTCATAGCATTCAAAATGAATTGATAAGTATGTTAGCTTCTAAAATCAAATGTGCAATAGTTCAAAAAAAATTAAAGAAGCTAAATATTTTCAGTAATACTTGATTGTACTCCGGATGTAAGTCACCAAGAACAAATGGCTTTAATATTACGATGTATTGATATTTCTACAAGCCCGATAAAAATAAAAGAATTTTTTGTAGAATTTTTAAAAATAAAAGATACATCAGGACAAGGACTTTATGAAGAATTACAAAATGTGCTAAAAACTCTTAATTTTGATATTGATAATGTACAAGGTCAAGGGTATGATAATGGGTCTAATATGAAAGGGAGACACCAAGGTGTACAAAAATAATTACTTGATATAAATCCTAGAGCATTATACATGCCTTGTGGTTGTCATAGTCTTAATTTAACACTTTGTGATATGATAAATTGTTGCGGTAAAGCAAAAAACTTTTTTGGAGTGATACAATGCATTTATACATTATTTTCTCACTCAACAAAGCGATGGCAAATTTTGATAAATAATGTTAAAGGTTTAACTGTGAAGTCACTGTCGGCTACACGTTGGGAAAGCCATATTGAAAGCGTTAAAGCAATTAGATTGCAAATGCTTAAAATAAGAGAAGTACTACTTCAGTTAGCAGAAACTGATAATGACTCCAAAATAAGGATTGTTAGGTATGATATATTTTGAATTGGAAATTTTGAATTTTTATTAAGTATGATTATTTGGTATGATATATTGTTTATTGTTAACTTAATTAACAAATCTTTATAATCTAAAGACATGCTTATTAATATTGCTGTAGATCAAGTAAAAGGATTGATTAGGTTTTTTTTGAGGATTATAGAGAAGTTGGCCTCATACAAGCTATGACAATTGCTAAAGAAATTACTAATGAAATAGAAATTGATTCTATATTTCAAATAAAACATCAAATCCGTAGAAAAAGACAATTTGATAAGAATGTTAATGAGGAGACAACACAATCAGCTGAAGAATCTTTTAGAATCAATTATTTTTTGTATATTGTAGATCAAGCTATTGGTTCACTAAAGAAAAAGTTTGAGCAATATAAAGCATATGAAGATATTTTTGGATTTTTGTTTGGTTCAGAAAAGTTAAATTCATTAGATGATAATAACTTGAAAGCATGTTGTGATAATCTTGAAATTGTTCTAAAATATAAAACATTTTCTGATCTTGATGGGAAAGATTTATTTGGAGAACTAAAAAACTTACAAAATATTTTACCAAAAGAAACAAAGATGACTATTGATATACTGAATTTCTTAAAAATATGAAATTGTTTTCCAAATGCATTTATTACTTATAGAATATTGTTGACTATACCTGTTACACAGTCGCATCTGTAGAAAGAAGTTTTTCAAAATTAAAATTATTAAAATTATTAAAATCTTATCTGAGATCGACCATGTCACAAGAAAGACTAAATGGACTAGCTTTGATATCCATTAAAAATAATTTTATAGATAAAATTGATGTTAAAGGCTTAATTAGTGATTTTGCAGCTAAAAATGCAAGGAGGACAATTTTTCGATGATACTTTTTGATGCTAAAGGCCTCAATATCTCTTATGAAGGTAAGCATAGATACAAGAGGAATATAATATACAAGTATTTCTTATTGTGGACTATTTGCTCTATTGGAAAGTTTTATTAAGTTGGGATTACATGTATTTATCTGATCAGTAACATTTTATTCAGGTGACCGAAGAGATGAAGAATGGGCAATTGGGATTACATGTATTTATCTGATCAGTAACATTTTATTCAGGTGACCGAAGAGATGAAGAATGGGCAATAGCACTTGAAAAGTATGTTAAATCAGTAACATTTTATTCAGGTGACCGAAGAGATGAAGAATGGGCAATAGCACTTGAAAAGTATGTTAAAAATTATCCAGATGTAAAAAAATTAGGTGACATTTTAATGTTTGATTAGTAACATTTTGTTCCCTAGCATTTTAGGGATTCAAATTGAAATTTATTGATATTTTGTATATAGAGAAGGGCCATGTGTTTACTTTT